TTGCACGTTTTAATTGTTTGAATGATTTTGTGAAATTTGTTAACTGCTTTCAATTGTTTAAAACTGTTTGTATGCAATAAATTAATATTATGAGCGGCACAACTGATCCAATCATCGTCACTGAATGCTAATACCATAGCACTCGCATTATCAGTGGTAAATGTCTTATATGTTTCAGTCAAATTGAATTGAGTTAACACATAATTAATATCACTTGAAGTGGTGTCCGCAGTCTTGTCAATGGTTTGCATCGTTGCTAAAACTCGTGATTTCAGTTCACAGTTATTGATATATTGAAGTGTGATTGTGATGTAATTAGTTTTCATATAATTATGGGTCCAGTGATCACATGTAATACCAATAGAGTCAACATTTTCTAATAGTTCACACAATTTGGTTTTGATTTTTTCATACGTGTTGTTAATATTGTTTGCAATAGTTTTAGGAGTGGGCAGTATATTAGGCAATGGGATGTTTGGGTGCTTTGATCCGATGTCCAATAAAGTGGTGGCCATGTGTTTGAAACCCTCGCCGTTAATAATATTCATTGGCCTCATATCCTTTGCAACGAAAAGCACCAGAGAGTCCGTTAATCTTGTCTTAATTTGTGTGATATTATGAGTTGATTTATAAAAGTGGCGGTCAATTGGGTTTGTTTGAATCGCATCATTAAGACATTTATGTCTTAATATACTTCCAGTTCCTGAATGTGATGCATATTTCAAAATGTTTGGACACGAGTTGCACTTAAGATAATTTGTTTCACAATTATCGTTAAACACTCTTTTAAATGCTTTTAAATTATTATTATTGAATTCAATAGTTTTATAACTAATCGACACATTTTTCTCATTTATTAATTTGATTAGCATTTGTTTCTCATTTTTATCACAATTAACGTTATTATCACTAAAGTTATCAATTTGATTGACACTAGTATTTCCACTACTATTTCCATAATAATTATCAATAGTTTTTTGCCGTTTTGAAGACATTATGATTTACTAACAATTAAATATTATCACTTGAATGTGCGGTGCTTTCAACGTGTGACAACAGCAACTTGTGCAACAAATGGTTTATGGTTTGTTGATATACAACTGAATAAAAAATTGTTGATGACATAATAGTTATCACTAGCATATATATAAAAATATGTCATACGTACATTATTGGTATCGCCTATTAAAAACCGTGAGTGGCGTGAGTGAGATTTCAATCGTGAATCACGCTCACTCACGAGGTGTCTAAAATTATTCACGTTCACTCACGATCACGGCCCGTGAGCGTGAATAAGCGTGAATCACGTGATTTGTGATTCACTTTACCGACACTAATGTAAAGTAGAATAATTCATTAAATTATTTTACATGTAGAATTTAATTTGCATTATAGATTATTATTTAATTGTAAATATTGTTCAGTAAATGAAATGTACAATAAATCATAATATGTCACCATTAAAGACGATGTTTCGTGCATTTGTGTGATTTAATAAGAGTTAATTAGTAAATTATTATACTTATTGTAATTATTATTTTTGTAATACATAAAAAGTAAAGCAAAATATTTAATTATTTATTTACTTAAAACAACAGTTTCATCAATTAAAACAAAAAAGTTTTGAAACAAAAAACAAATAAAAGTTTAATCAATTAAATCTGTATATTATTTTTAAAGTATTTATTTTACATAATTTCGTTATCAGAAACTAATAATTAGTTTAATTTAATGAATTATTCATTAAATCTCCTCATTTTGAATGCGATTTAAAGTATTTAACAAATCGTAAGT